GGGGTGTCCGCGGCTGCCCGCCTCGGGTCGCCTTCCGCCGCCATGGACGGCCACCGGCGCTGAGAACCATGGAGGGTCGGGGTGTGCCGCCCGGGCCATATCGGGCCACCAAGCTGGTAAGAGCGCGGGTCGACGAGACTGGTCAGTGGGCTGGGGCGTTCGTAGTTTTCCCCTGGGCCCCTTGGTTCCAGGAAAAGGAGCGTGAAAGCAATCAGGATCCCCTCTTCGCGGGTCTGGGCCGCCACTCCCGCCGCTCTGGAGCGGTCGGTCTTAAGGAACGCGCCCCAGAAAGTCCATGACCTACTTCGTGGTACTCCTGAGCCTGGTGTGGTCGGCATCTCCCAGAACGTCCTAGAATATTCGGTGGGAGTCATGTTCCACACCTGATTTCCCACGCCTCTCAGAATGAGAAAACAATTGAGAACGAGTTCCGAAGTGTGTAGGGTCGGTCACGTTGGGGACAAGCCCGAATAGAACAGTTCCATGTATTAAGCACGTACAGTTTCATGCAGGATGGTCCCGGCCCAAAGTACTTTGAGTAACCTCTGTTGGCGGTCTCAGGATGTGTGTGTACTCTTACAGTGTCGTGTGTATTTGAATCTTATGTCCTGTAGGTGAGTGTGCTAGGTTTTGTGACATTAGGGGAAACACCCACCTCGTGAGCCTGTTTCCACATTGGTACAGGAAGCTTATGGTACATGCTGACGTGAAGGGATTTCTTGAGAGGGTACTGTGTATGAAAGTGTGTTGTGATCTAGGGGGTAGCAAGTATCCTATCAGGAATGCTCTTGGGGTGGGGTGGGGGAGTGTGTATTAATAGCTTCACTTCACCATTCTGACAACTGAGGCTCGGAAATTAAGTGATTCTCCCAAAATCACATAAGCAGTAAGTGGCAGAGCTAGAAGATTAAGATCTTCCTGATATATTGTGATCTTGACATAGATTCTGCTGCTCAGTAAGTTACTGATTTTATTTATCAATATGAAAAAATATAATTTAGGCCTAAATGTGTTTTGTAAATTATATACAGTTTAATCAGGTAGTCCTGTTGCATGACAGTATTTAAAAATTCTTTATTTTAGACAAAAGTAGTATAAGCACACTGAGGAAGAAAGCTTGCTTGGTACAGGAATCTTCACATAAGATAGTATAGAAAGTACATAAAGCTATTTTAATATTAAAGGTATGTTACCAGTAAAACTGCCATAAGTTTTGTTGGCCAGTGTGCAGTTGAGAGGACATGTTCTGGAATTCAAGCCTGGTTTTGAATACCTTTGTTCATCACAAGTAACTGACCTTGTTACTAATGTCTTTGAGCTTCATTTTCCTTATGTGAAAAATTAAATAGTAAAAGTACTTACCCGTACAGTTATGAGAATGAAAGTGAAATAATGAATGTGCCTGGCACAAGTGCTACCAGCATATTATTTAGGTCTTATTAGTTGAGGTAAAAAATAGGAATAAATGCTTTCTCTCTTTGAGGACCATGATGCAGGTACATGGTACTTCTTCCTTTCCTAAGTTTTCTAGGTTGACCAGCCAATGAAGTGTTTTAAGTAAAAAACTGTTACATAAAAATATTACTATAATGCTAGACTTAATAAAAAGATATCAGTACAAGATAAAATTTTATGTAGCACAAGTAAGATGAATTATTCAAGATTTTTTACAATTTAATCTGATGTAAAGTAAGGAATTTGCTTTGCCTCATATATTTCAAATCAAAGATTTTATTTTTGCTTAAATTTTAATATTTTCCTTCTTTTTGCAGTGGAATGAAATCACCACATCTTTTCGAGTAGGAATGCCTGTAAGGAAACACAGGCAACATTTAAAAAAATATGGCAATTGTTTCACAGCAGGAGAAGCAGTGGATTGGCTGTATGACCTCTTAAGAAATAATAGCAATTTTGGTCCTGAAGTTACAAGGCAACAGACTATCCAACTGCTGAGAAAATTTCTTAAGAATCATGTAATCGAAGATATCAAAGGCAGATGGGGATCAGAAAATCTTGACGACAACAATCAGCTATTCAGGTACTATACAGATACTATAACTATGACATTGAATTACTGTAAAATATTGTCTCCACTTTAGTTATACTTTTGCTAAAGTGGATTCCTCAAGAGAACTAATATTAGGTTGTCAAAAAAGTCATGATATATTTTTCTATGCAAAAATGCATCATGACTACCGACAACCCAATGTTTTCTTTAGAAAGCTATTACTACTCTTAGTCCAATTGTTTTTTGTTTGTTTGTTTTTTGGAGAGGCTTTTGCTATAGGGCACGTGCGCTTGCCACCGGGTCTGGGACTTGAACCACGGTTGACTACATGGAAATCCAGCGACAGGCATTACACTAACTGCTGGTCCCTGTCCAATTTTTTTTTTTAATTATTATTTTTTTAATTTTATTTATTCATTCATTCATTTTTTCTTTATTTGACCAGAGAGAGAGAGGGAGAAAGCAAGCCACCAGGTCCGGGACTCAAACCGTGGTCGACCATGTGGGAGTGTCCAGCGCCTTAACCACCATGCCACCTGCTGGTCCCAACCTATCCAATTGCTTTAAGAGTAAAACAATTTAGAAAAATTGTTAGGGGAAAATTATTGATTCAAAATTCAAACTTCTTAAATATTTGCTGGTATCTATTGGGTCATCAGAAAAGTCATGACAGTTTGCTGGTATATATTGGGTCATCAGAAAAGTCATGACATGATTTTCTGTGTTTTCTATGCAAAATGCATCATGACTTTCCTACTACCCAGTATATTGAAGTAGGAAATTGGAAAAGAAATGGTAAGATATTGTCACTTGTGCATATTCATTCTAAAAGCTTTATAACATCTCAAGGGCATATCACTGCTTTTAGTTTCACTGAGTATATACTTATAAGAGAAGTTCATAAATATCTCCCTTCGGATAGTACATAATTTATTGTAATCTAAATACATGTAATAGCAAACCTTATATAACAAATAATGGAAGAAATATACCACAGGTTAAAGAGAATATTTGTTAAGCAGTTATATATCAGAAACTCCACTTTATGACATTCATGCGTTTTCTTATTTATTCCCTAGAATAGCCAAGCAGGGTGGTTATTAACTCATTTTTACAGATGAAGATAACTGAGAACAGGCTTCAACAAGTCTTGTTCTCTGTCTGAAATGTTCTTCCATCTTGAAACTGTATACATAGTCAAACTAGTAAACTTAAACATTTTTTCTGATCTCAGCTGCTTGTAGCCTCCTCCTAAGAATCTTTTTGACTCCTTCAAGCCCAACATAATTGCTTTTTCTCTCACATACCCAGGGTTCTTTTTGACATATTCATTAAACTAGGTCTTCAGATTCCAATGTTCATGCGTTTTTTTTCCCATGACATTAGTACTTTTCAAATGAAATAAATATCTTAAAAACTGATTATTTCTTATGTACAGAAAATCATATATGACATACAAGTTAACTGCAGTAACAAATATATGAATAGTCCATTCTGTATAAAACCCTACAGAGATCATTTCTCTCTTAGCTACTACTTACTCAGTCATTGTAGGCTCCATTGCTACTGTTCATCTTTTAACTGTTACTTATTCCTCAGGTTTTTGGCCTTGTTTTCACTTCACCTTGCTCCCTGGACCGTTTCATGCCAAGTCTTCACCTATCTTTCCTATGACTTTCAAATCTCCAATCCGATTGTTTTCCTGAGCTTTAAGCCCCATTTTTTTCAATTACCTACTAGACAGGCACTTCAAATATATAAAACAATCACTATCACCTCTTAACCTAAATTTTGTCTTATGTTTCATATACAAAAAAAATGGCATTGCCTTCCTTATAGTTGCCTTGATTTTTTTCCCTTTAAATATGATTTAATCATTATACTCAATTATACTAACCTAAATAGTTCTTTGATCTGTACACTTCTGTCTCTAATATGAATGCTCTTTTTGTTAGGCTATTACACTTTCTTACTTGGATTTCTGTATAACTCTTCCACTGATCTCTCTGCCACTAGTCTTTTATAATGGTAACAAAATTGTAAAGTACTTAGAAGAAGTCTACCAAAAAGTGTAAGACCTTATTGGAAAGCGTAATAAAATTGTATTGAAAGGAATAGATGAAAATAACCCTGTTGATAAAAGTGAAGATTTATTGTCACATTTATAAGTCAGTCCTTCTAAAATAGATAAATTCAGTGTGTTTTCATTAAAAGCTGCAATATATATTTTTGTAAAATTTGCAATATAGAGGTTGTAAAATTTATCAAAATTCATTTGGTAAAAATTCAAGGCAATTTTTTTTTTTTTTTTTGGAGAAGTTTTTGTTATAGGGCATGTTCGCTCGCCAGAGAGACAGAGAGATAGAAAGTGAGAAATCACCCCCCATGGGGGATGGTCATGCCGCAATCTCTTCTCCATTCTCCTCTCAGGATCTTGGGCACGCACTCACACACACACGTCCGGCGTGAGTTTAAGCCACCAGGTTCGGGATTCAAACCACAGTCAACTACGTCGGAGTCCAGTGACATAGCCATTACGCTAACTGCTGGTCCCAAAATTCATGGCAATTTTGAAGAACAAGGAGAGGAAATTGGCTTTATCTCATATTAAGACTTAATTTAAAATAATTATGTACTAGGAAAACAAACCCACATATGTGTGGGACTTTGGTATAAATTACATATGGATTAAATACATAAATATGAAAAATAAAACTGTTGAGTGAGTATAAGAGCATATTTATATGACAATGGACAAAAAAGAACTTCTGGGATCATTGAAAGCTTATGTGTAAATTTTATGTACAATAAACTGAAGAAACACCGAATTTATTTATTTTTTAATTTGTTAGAGGGGACATGCTTTGACCAGAGAGAGACAGAGAGTAAGTGAAAGAGTGGGGAAGTGAGAAAGCACCTCCTCCAGAGGCGATGGCCAGGCTGCAAATCCCTTCTCCATTCTTCTCTCAAGATTTTTGGGCATGCATGGACATACCCAGCATATTTTACAAGCCGCCAAGTGTGGAACTCAGACTACACGGTGGGCTATGTGAGATCCAGCCTCCTTAACCACCATGCTACTGACTGTCCGTATATATATTTATTAAAAGTATAAAAGAATGTGAATAAGAAAGATACACTGGCTATAAGTTTATGATTTCCTATAGTAAGAGGGGATATAAATAGAATAAGTGAAGAATTTCTTTTATAAAAAAAAAAGATACTGTCTTTTGCAAAATATCAGCAATTGCTTTGGTTAATAGTTTCATATGTGAATGTTGGTTTTTGTTATTTTCTGTACTTTTTTATGTCTTTCAAATATTTTATATTAAAATGAAAGGTGGACCTGTAGGTTATATGGAGGTTAAGGCACTGGATCCCACATAGCCAACTCTGCTATTCAAGTTTTGGACCCAGCGGCTTGAAAACTACACTGGGCATGCATACCTAAAATCCTGATAGGAGAATGGAGGAGAAGGGATTACAATGTGGCCATCCCCTCTAAGGGATGATTTTTCACTTTCCCTCTCTGTGTTTCTGCCCGACTCTCTGGTGAGTGTGTACATGCCCAGTGTCAAAAATCTTTATTTAAGGGAACCAGCAGTTAGCGTAATGGCTGTGTCGCTGGACTCCCACGTAGTCGACCACAGTTTGCATCCCGGACCCGGTGGCTTAAAACTCATGCCGGGTGCGTGTGTGTGCGTGCCCAAGATCCCGAGAGGAGAATGGAGGAGAAGGGTTTGCGGCGTGACCATCCCCCCCTGGGGGTGATTTCTCACTTTCTGTCTCTATGTCTCTCTCTGTCTGTCTGGCGAGCGCATGCGCCCTATAGCAAAAACCTCTCAAAAAAATAAATCTTTATTTAAAAAAAAAAAGTGGAGGGGGATGGTAAAAGATTATGACCAAAGGAATAACAGAGACCAACTTCTGAAAATTAGGATAAACATAGTAAATAAAAGGCAGAAGATACATGTAAATTCAGGGACCAGCAGGTGGCGTGGTAGATAAGGCGCTGGACACTCGCACATGGCTGACCATGGGTCAAGTCCTTGACATGGTGGCTTGCTTTCTCACTTTCTCTCTCTCTCTGTCTCTCTCTGGTCAAATTAAAATAAATGAATGAATAAATAAAATTAAATTTTTTTTTAAAAAATATTTGTAAATTAGATTCGTTTCAAAGGAATTTAGAAAATAGCATTCCAGAGCCATTTTATGTATAAGCAATAGCTCTCTAATAGAATTGATCCAAGTAGTAACCCAAAATTACCCAGAAATAAAATTAAGATATTAAAGAAGGCAGAGAACTAATAAAATATTTTTTAAGGTTGAATGGGAAAATCAATTTATGTAATCTTTATTCCTTCATAATATAAACTAATCAGGTTCTTAGTGTGACTTTTAAGATATAAAGACTCTAAATGTTTGCTTCTAATCTCATACTATTAAATTGCATATTACTTCTAAACTAGATTTCCTGCATCTTCTCCACTTAAAACTCTTCCACGAAGACATCCAGAATTGAGGAAAAACAGCACAGAGAACTGTTCCAAAGATAAAGACAGTATTTTTAAATTACGAAACTTATCTCGTAGAACGCCTAAAAAACATGGATTACATTACTCCCAGGTAAAACATCAATTTACTAATCACTACTTCAACTATAATTACCGTGTGTTTAATAATTACATCAAAGTAAGTGATTTTTTTTTTAATTGCCAGAAGGTGGTTGCCCTCCGAGAGAGAATGGGAAAAAGTATCTCCAGTGGGGTGTGATCACACCACAATCCAGTCTCCATTTCTCTATCCTATTGAGATTTTGTGGACATCAACCCACACACACACCAGCATGTTTTTCAAGTCACCAAGCCTGGGATTCAAACCTCAGTCACCCTTAGGAACCAGCAGTTAGCGTAATGGTTATGTCGCTGGACTTCCACGTAGTCGACTGAGGTTCGAGTCCCGGACCCTGTGGCTTAGAATTCACGCTGGGTGCATGTGCATGTGTGCCCAAGATCCCGAGAGGAGAATGGAGGAGAAGGGATTGCGGCGTGACCATCCCCCCTAGGGGGTGATTTCTCGCTTTCTGTCTCTCTGTCTGTCTGGAGAGCACACGCGCCTTATAGCAAAAACCTCTCAAAAAAAAAAAAAACTCAGTCACCCTTAAAGAATCTGATTCCCATAATATTTAGGCTATAGGACTAGCATAGTAGATGACTGTTTAATATTTGAAGCCAGTACTGGCATCACCTAACCTAAATTACATTCTAAAAATCTAAAAATGTATACATTTGTTTGGAACACATAGAAACAGTGATAAAAATAGTAGTGAGACAGACTTGGAAATGGTATTTATTTAACTTAAGTAGGGCATTATAGATTGTTTTGAGGGTGGTGGGGACAGTTGCAAAATCCAAAATCTTATCATACATTACAATAATTTCTTCAGGCAACAATTACATAGATCCAAATAGGCCGATACTAATAAAACTACCAAATATTGGGCAGGGTGTCTGTTTAATATTATTAATTTGAGCATAACAAACTAAACCAATTTTCTCTGAACAGGAAAATACAGAGAAAATGAAGCATGAAAGGATCAATGAAGATCAAGAAAACACAACTGATAATAGAGAAATAAGCCATGAAGATGTTGAAGAAGTTTGGCGATACATCTTTCTGACCTAGTAAGATAAAGCTAAGCTATAATCAAGTTCCTGAAATGCTTAGATGATTAACTTGACCTTTTCATCAAAATATACAGTAAGACCAGAATACTTCTCAAAACTTAGGATTTACATCTGTATATATGTTTTCTAACAATGTTCTTACTTTAGTTCTAGTTTAATACAGTAGAAATAGAATGTTCTTAATATGATTTGCCTTTTTTTTTTGAGAGAGAGAGAGAGATTTTTGCTATAGGGTACATGTATTCGACTGAGAGACAAAAGCGAGAAATCACCCTCCTGGGGGATGGCCACACCACAGTCCCTTTTCTTCCATTCTCCTCTCAGGATTTTGGCCACATACTCACAGGCACCCAGGGTGAGTTTCAAGCGATCAGGTCTGGGACTCAAGCCGTGGTCAACTACGTGGGTGTCCAAAAATGTAACCATTACACCATCGGCTGGTCCCATGATTTGCTTTTTCTTTAAATTAAAGTTGTGGCTATGGTTTAGGGTCTTCATTAGAATCCCTGAAAAGTCTTTGAAATAAATATATTTTAAATATAAGCTTTTGAAGTTTTACTAACAGAAAAAGACAATCTCATGGTTTTGTTTGCCAGTCATATTCATTAATACTTATATTCTCTTCCACATATTTTATGGAGAAAAAGAAATTGTATTATTTCTTCTGTTTAGCCTACAAACCATTTTAGGTGTATCATCCCTAGAAGAAGTCATAAATCCAAAACAAGTAATTCCACGATATATAATGTACAACATGGCCAATACAAGTAAACATGGAGTAGTTATACTACAAGACAAATCAGGTAGGTATTGATAAAATAAATTGAAATATTTTTCCAACTTGATAACAAAGATTACAGCTATAAGGGTGTATGTAATGTATATAATTATAGAAAACTGTAAAGTTTTCAAATATATTGTGAGTTTGTGAGATTTACTTAAACTTTTTTTTTTTTTTTAAAATGTGTAGATGACCTTCCTCACTGGGTATTATCTGCCATGAAGTGTTTAGCAAATTGTAAGTTAAACAAAATAACATCTCTGCTTGTGTGTATGTGTGTGCACATGCTTATATTGATAGTATTTAACAAAAAAAAAGAAAGAAATTTTTAAAGTAATTTATCAAAGTTTTGATTAAATTATATAATTTATCTTAATGTTTAAATGGAAGTCTGGTAGAATTGATTGTATTATAGAGCCCTCAATTTTTTCTGTGTAGGTTTTTATAATTTAAACCTATCAGTTTATGGCTCAGTTTACATAAATCATAAACTCAGAAACAAGGGAATCTTGAAGAATTTTTAGGTAAAATCTATACTAGTTGCTTGTGAGTCCCAGAGTTCAAATAGCAAAATAACTTAGAAGTGGAAAAAATTCATCCAGAGATTAAATCTCATAAAGCCCACTTCAGTCTCTTAACCATTGTACATGGCTTCATCATTCAGGTACTTTATAACATACTTCCACTCCAGAAGATATATTAATGGGACTTTTATGTTTATTTTTTTTTAACTGCTCTCTCACTTAATTATCAGGTCATTTTTTAGCATTTCATTGATCAAACTTTTCTATAGGGATCAGTAATAATTGATTTTTATAGTTTATACCCTTATTCAAGTATAAAATTCTAATTTCTTTTTAAACAAATTTTTAAAGTGTATAAAAGTTTATGCTTCTAAATCATCCAAAGGTCAATATATGTTAATAATTTTAGTTACAGTGCAGTTTTCTAGTTCTTATAAAATTACCATTTTCTATGATACTAAGGGTTTTAGTAATGTTTAGCATAAGTATATATTCCTTTGTTGTCCACTGGGTGTCAATATGACAAAATTACAGAATTAGTGATAAATAATAATATAGAAATGTTTTATTTATAAAAATAAGGTAAAGATCTTGATCATAAATTTAAGATGAGTTTTTCTCCCTTCTGTACCTAATATATTTGTCTTTCTTTCCTTGGCTCATGGTTAGCAACTCAAATAAGCATACTTACAGGGATTTCACTGACATCCTAACATTAAGGATTTGTATCTTCCCTCTCTTTAGTATATCCTAACATTAAGGATTTGTATCTTCCCTCTCTTTAGTATACCTAAGTGATACCAAATATACCTCTTACTGGATTCCAGTTTAACAATGTATTTAGCTAGAGACAATACCTCAGAATAATTCTGTGACATATTAGAATCGTTAATCAGTTTACCATGCCCTGATTTTTTTCCCCCAGGGGAGAATATCAAGGTTGAAGGGGTTTCTGTTAATACAAAGGAGCTTTGTTTTCTGTCTTAAAAAGCTTTCTATTTATCAAATCTTTTATTGTAAATATTAAGGGACCAGCAGTTAGCGTAATGGCTATGTTGCTGGACTCCCATGTAGTCAATTGCGGTTCAAATCCCGAACCCAGCAGCTTAAACTCTGCCAGGCGTATGTGCATGCGTGCCCAAGATTCTGAGAGGAGAATGAAGGGGAAGGGATTGCAGCATGGCCATACCCCCTGAGGAGGTGATTTCTCACTTTCTGTCTCTCTGTCTCTCTTTGTCTTTGTGGCAAGCACATGAGCCCTATGACAAAACCCTCTCGAGAAAAAGAAACCCCTGAAGATAGGAGTCAGCAAGGAACATGGTGGCTAAGGCACTGGACTTCCACATGGTTAACCGCAGTTCAAGTCCTAGACCCAGTGGCTTAAAAATCATACTGGGCACATGTGCGTGCCCAAAATCCCAAGAGGAGAAGGAGGAGAAGGGATTGGAGCATGGCCATCCTCCACTAGGGGTTGATTCTCACTTTTCCTTCTTTCTTGCTAAGGAGCACCTATACCTTGTGGCAAAAATATTAAAAACAAAAACAAACAGACCAAAAATCTCTTTAAAAATAAATATATATATTTCTTATATCTCCTTCGAATAATATCTAATTCACTCTACATAAAGCTCATATTAGCATTTAAGCTGTTAATTGTGTGTATGTGACTTGTTTAACTTTTTTCTGTGTGTGCTCATATTTGTGGGTATTTTCTTTTTATTTGTATTTTGTTTGTTTTTTGCTGTAGGGTGTGTACACCCACCATAGAGAGAAAGAAATAAAAAGTGAGAAATCACACCCCATGGGAATAGCCTCACCATAATCCCTTCTCCTCCACTCTCTTCTCAGAATTTTAAGCATGCATACACATGAGTTAAACCACTGGGTCTAGTACTCAAACTGTGTTCAGACATGTGGCAGTCTAGGGGCATAATCATTACGCTATTTGCTGGTGCTTTGTATGTGGTTATTTAAGTGGGTATTTAAAGTTGTATTTATATTTTATGTATTTATAAAGTTGGGAGACAGAAGTGAAAAAAGATTATTTACATTGGGAAAGATATTTTAAACATGAAAGATAGTATAGTGACTCTGAAACCTAAATGCATATCAAATTAGCAACAGAGATTCTCCAAAGATTCTATTTCAGGAATCTTTTTTTTTTTTTTTTTTTGCCTCCTTAGAAACCATGTTTCAGAAGATTCTTACAGTGCAAGTTCCCTGGTCAATGTTTAGAAACCTTTATGTTTGTGAACCAAAAGCAAACATTTCTAGGTCAGTAAATTCCTAGTTGTACCTTCATAAATTCTGCTATGTAGAGGAGTTTATTTTTAATAGACACTTTGGGTGATTCTGATGAATATAATCTATGGACCACACTTTAAATGTTGTTGGACCTCGAAGTCCTGGGTCACTTTCATTTTACATTGTTAAGTTTTCTGGTTCTAACTTTGCTACCAAGGTCTCTTCATTTGGGGCAAGTTACTGTAAGCCTTAATTTTCTTATCTGCAAAATGAGATCAGATCTTATTTTTGAAAAACACTAACGTGTAGATATAATTGTTTCAGTTGTGTTAAGAATGAGAAATAATTATGTAAAGATATTATTACAGTTCATTAAGTGACTGCTTTATGTCAGGCAAGATTTATTCATGAAAATGTAAGTTTACCAAAGACAATTTGGATTATCCAAATATCCTTTGTTTTACAAAATAAATCTCAATAAAATAGGTTTCCTATTGCTTCTAAAATATATTTAAAGTTTTGCTTTGTACAGCTTGTCAGATATGTAAATATTAATATGTAAATATATGTAAATATTAACAATTGACTACTTGCAGTAATTTCTTCTGAAAAGATAATGAGAAGGAATGAGACGTATATAACACTTTAAATTTTTGAATTATGACAGAATTTTTTGTTAAACAGCTATTTTATGAAATACAGGTTTCATATTTTTATGAGTATATTTAAAATTTATCTTTAAATTAAAATATATTTAACCTATTTCTTTTGCCTTAAACTTTTTAGGGCCAAGAAGTAATGACATCAATAATCCAACTTACGTTGGATTTGAACGAGATGTATTTAGAACAATTGCAGATTACTTTATAAGTCTCCCTGAACCTCTACTTACATTTGAATATTATGAATTATTTGTGAACATTTTGGGTAGGTAATGATTTTACTTATTTAAATTTATTTTATAAAAGTTTTCAAGGTTCCCATAATTTAAAAGACCTAAAAGCAAGGTTATGCAAAGCTGACAGACAGGCTAAATTATTTTAAAATTTATTGATACTATGGCTGCTATTTTGTTGTTTTCCAACAATTACAGTATGCCAGTCCAATGCCATTTCTCCCAGACATCAGTGGGGATCCTACCGTTTAATCCATTTCTGACACTAAGTAATCTGTAGTTAGCTCAGACTACCCAGCTCCACAAGACAGCCTTCACTTTTGAAGTTTGCTTCAAATTAATTCCATAGTCTGTCTGTATGTACCTCTGCCCTGCCAGCTACCAATTGGAGGGTTTCTTCAACCCTCTCTCAGGTTTAGTGATGATGAAAACAATTCATAGAAGTTAGGGAAATACTTTACTTATGATTATCAGTTTCTTGTAAAGGATAGAATTCAGGAACAGTCAAATGGAAGAGATGTACAGAGTAAAATATGGGAGTAGAAAGTGTAAGAGCTTCCATGCTCTTTTCAGGCAGGCCACTCTCCTGCTATGTCCATGGATCACCAACCCAGAAGCTCCCTTAGCCTTGTTCCAAAGTTTTAATTGACATGTCTTTATCTAGACATGATTGATTAAATCATTGGCTATTGGTGATTGAACTCAAATCTCTGGTCCTCTTCCCCTTAGAATGTTGTAGGTGCACCTGGAAGTTCCAACTCTAAGCATAGCCAGCCAAGAGTCACTGTAGAAGAAACTCAGGTGTGCTTTAATAGGCTCGTTAAAATAACACTTTCATCACAGAAAAATATTCTAAGGATTTTCAGAGCTACTTACTAGGAACCAAGAACAAAGGCCAACTATTTATATTTTATTATACCATAATGTCTAATAATTAAGAGGTTTATAGTATTTTAGACTGAGAACAAATATTTTCAATGTATTCTGCCTCAATTTATTTAATTAGGTTGCTGAAATAATTTTTTAAAGTTATTTATTATCACAAATGGGAAAACCACTAGTCATTCTTGCACGATTGTAACTGAATGCTGCATGTGTCCTATTTAAGTGGCTTCTGAATTAAGTAACTGCTGTTTGTACTATACTAACAATATGTACTATCGTGATGCTTTATTTTTAACTTTACTATTGTTTTTTGTTTTATTTTTGTTCACTGTCAAACAGTTGCATCTTAATTTTTGTTTCATTTCCTGGTAGTTGTTTGTGGCTACATCACAGTTTCAGATAGACCCAATGGGATACATAAAATCCAAGATGATCCACAGTCTTCAAAAATCCTTCACTTAAGCAGTTTGAATTCCTTCAAATCAACTGAGTGTCTTCTTCTCAGTCTGCTTCATAAGGACAGGAACAAAGAAGAATCAGATTCAACTGAGAGACTGCAGATAAGCCATCAAGGATTTCAAGAAAGATGTGCTAAGAACATGCAGCTAGTTGATTTAAGAAATAGAAGATCCAGTGCTAATAATCTAATGGGAGGAAGTTGTCATAATTTAATAGGCTTGAATAAGATGCATGTCCTATCCTCTAACATCAAACCAAGGTGCTGTTCTTTGGAAGGAATTGTAGATATGTTAGGGAATTCAAGTAACGAGGTGTCCAGTGTCTTTCATCAATCTGTTCTGAATACAGAAGGACAAAGTAATAAACGCTTTGCAGAGTCTAAGCCCAAACTGGAATCTATGCTGAGTCTTCAATCAGAGCAAAGTATTCAAAAGCCACTCTGTGTTGGTTTTAAGAGAACTTCTACTTTGACTGTTCAAGACCAAGAAGAAATATGTAATGAGGAGTGCATGTCAAAACAGCTTTGTAGATCTCAGAGTTTGCTTTTAAGAAGTAGTACCAGACGGAATAGTTGTATCAATACACCAGTGGCCGAAATTATCATGAAACCAAATCTTGAACAAGGCAGCACAAGTATGCGAACAGCTATGGAAAGTGACCTTGGGGAGTCTAGTATCACAATCAATAAAAGACTCTGCAAAAGTACAATAGAACTTACAAAACATTCTTTACCTCCAGCTTCTTCTATGTTGACTGGCACACAAAGTAAGGTTGTTGCTTTCCAGGCATGCAATATTAACTTTTAGTGTTTACTAACTGTGTTTTGCTTCCTTGGCTTTACTTCTCAAATTGCTTTATATTTTTCCTCTAAAATGATTTATTATTAAAGACTTCATCTTGGCATAACCAAGATTTATTCTTACCTGAAACACTTACTTTTTCTTCTTCATTTCACTTATTCTTGGTCACTTTATTTGTAATAAGTGAAGGATTTTAATAGTTAGAAATAGTTTGTGAAGAAAATAATGAAAATCCATGCTTTTGAGGAATGTAGACATTTCTAGAAAGAGTTAAATATGAAGTATGAAATAGATATTATTTTACTTTATACAGTTGTGTATGCTGGTAGTCTGATAACAATTAGTGTCATTAATAATATTTTGTATGGGGGGGTAACTTTGCCTTCTAGGTTTGCTGCAACCTCATTTAGAGAGGGTTGCCATCGATGCACTGCAGTTATGTTGTTTGTTACTTCCCCCACCAAATCGTAGAAGGCTTCAACTTTTAATGCGCATGATTTCTCGAATGAGTCAAAATGTTGATATGCCCAAACTTCATGATGCAATGGGTACAAGATCATTGGTAAGTTGATTTTCTATGAAAAACATAAACTCTGGTTTATAAACCAAAATAAGAAAACCAAACTCTGTAAAAATTCTACTCAGGTGATGTCTTGGTATTGGGGAAGTTCTAGATTCTTAGGTTAGAAAGGCTTTTCCCAGAGGATGGCATGCATAATGGTTACATTGCTGGACTCCCATGTGATTGACCGTGGTTTGAGTCCCAGACCTGGTGGTTTGAGATTCAAGCCAGGTGTATGTGCATGAGTGCCCAAAATCCCATGGGGAGAGACTGAAAGAGAAGAGATTATGGCATGGCCATCCCCCCTGGTAGGTGATTTCTCTCTTTCTGTTTCTCTGTCTCACCAGTGAGCGCACGTGCCCTATAGCAAAAATCTATCTTTAAAAAAAAAAAAAAAGTCGTATCTCTTCTAGTAGTAGAATGTTAGGGGATCATCAAGTGGCGTGTTTATGGCACTGGACTTCCACATGGCCTATTACAGTTCAAATTTCAGACCTGGTAGCTTGTTTTCTCACTTTACCTCTCTATCTGTGGTGAACACAAGTGCCCTATAGCAAATTTAAAAGTAACAATAATGATAAATAAAATTGAATAATTTATTTTTTTAATATTTTTTAAATAATTATTTAATTTTATTCATTCATTTACTTTTGACCAGAGAGAGATACACAGAGAGAAGGGAAGTGAGAAAGCAAGCCACCAGGCCCAGGACTCAAACTGTGGTCAGCCATATGGGAGTTTCCAGCACCTTAACCACCATGCCACCTGCTGGCCCCCCAGAATTAAATAATTTATTTTTAAAAGGATATTAGTATAGTAATCTTTATGCTCATTCTGATATGCTTTCACATCCTGTTGTTAATCTTGACTGAGGACTTTACTTACTCCCTCATCCTGTATCATTTCATAGTGATTGACTCAGGCCACATTATGTTGGCTTTTGCCAATTCTCTTTGGTGGGAAGGAAGAGATAGAGAGGTGCTGTTGGAAGCTTAAGGGAACTAAAACTCTGGAAGTAGAGAACTAATAGGAAATCGATATACAGTAAGTCAAAATGTTTCATAGACATAGTAATGGAAAAGTCCAGAATATGGATCAGACCAGTCTAGACAAAAAGTTGGAAAGCACTCTTGCCAAACAACCTCAGGCTTCTTGTAAGGATGAAGTCAGAGGCATTTATATGCAGATATTGATTGGAAATAAACTCCTGAAATACTATTTCTCTCTTTTTCTTAAAAGAGCTGCTACTTCCTTAGTCTGCAGCTTCACTTTACAAGAGCTCCTCCAAGGAGCAATCAAGCTATGCTTTGTTCTACTTGTTATTAACAGTTTTTACTATGGTCTAATATAATGAATTGTTCTTGAGTAATTATGGCATTATTAAAAGACACAGAAAGTTTATAGGTGATGGCGTTTTGAGAAATACAAATAGAGAGGTGATAAAATTTGGTTTTATACTTTTGGGATTTGAAATTCCAGAACATTCAAGTAGAATTTTTACAACCAAATATTGGAAATATGAGCCTGATGAATACAGGGCAGAAGGCATATTTTTTGAGTCATCCACTTTATTTGGTCATTTTATTTGGTCAGTAAATATGCTGATCAGCTAATATGTGTAAACTACTTGAAATAGAATTCTCATATTTTAATTATTCTAGAATGGAGTAAGTATGTGTCATAGTTAATAGGTTGTATGGATATGAGTAAGGGTAATGAGTCTTGAAAAAAATCCAATATTTGAAGACTTCTTATGATGGAATTGAAAAATGCTTGTATTAAATTGCAGGATAAAGATTGAAGGAAAAAGCATTAGAATCTTCAATAGTTTCAAAAGATAAATTATAAATTTTTCAACTACTGATGAATATAAGTGTCTTATATATTATAAATTATCTTGGCTTCCATTTTAGTAGGATTCATTTAATACTGTAAGTTTTTATTCTCCAATGATCTTAAAGCAATTTATCTATAGGGGCCAGCAGATGGCATGGTAGTTAAGGGCACTAGACTCGCACATGGCTGACTATGATTTGAGTCCCAGACCTGGCAGCTTGCTTTCTCACTTTCTCTCTCTCACTCTATCCCCCTCTGCTCAAATTAAAATAAAGGTTTTTTAAAAAAGCAATATAACTATATGATATTAAATCCATGATATTTACTGAAAATGTGACAAAATTAAAGAAAAAAACTAAACCTTTTATTGGTCTTTGGCATTATATTAAGGAAATACCATGTACTTTAAAATGGGTGTAAGCATAATAGAATTCTTATCTCTCTAATCATAATAAGTTATTGTCCTCTTTTTAAACTGAAGTCTGATTATCACTTTATCTCAATACTTCACATAATAGTACCTGGAGACTACTAATATTCTAATTTATATGAAACCTTGAGTTTTTAATATGTTTCTAGATGATACATACTTTTTCTCGGTGTGTGCTACGCTGTGCTGAAGAAGTGGATCTCGATGAGCTGCTTGCTGCAAGATTAGTTTCTTTCTTAATGGATCATCATCAGGAAATTCTTCAAGTACCCTCTTACTTACAGACTGCAGTGGAGAAGCATCTTGACTACTTAAAAAAGGGTTATGTAGGTATTTTGAGTCTTGAAATTCTCTGCATTAGTTTGTAACAAGTGGCAAATTCATCACAAACTAGCCTAATCAAAAAGGGAGACTATCAGTTCACTTAAACAACTTCAAAAGTCAAGAATAGGATGATATCTAAGGATGCAGATAGCAATGGGACCATTTCTGTTCCTCCAGCACTTTTTTCTGTTTTGGTCCTGTATTTGATAAATGGCTCCTTCACATGATGGAGAGTTGGCTGACTCAAGTTCCCAGCCTTACTTTTACAATCCAGAGAAAAAAGCCATCTCTCTATTTCCAGATTGAAAAGTTCTGGTTAGAGACTTGTGGCCTAATCTTAAATTAAATGTTCATCCTTTGAGTGTTTGAGAATAAGATGGAGAGAAAGCCATATCCTGATTGGATTTACATAGATTAGAGTTGTTGTTCAAAAAAGATGAGGGTAGAGGAGGTAGAATGGAATGAACTGTTAACAGTGAAAGAGGAATACTAAGCAGCTGAAACCACAGATAGCTACTGTTTTCCAACTTTGGCTGCCCAATTCATATGTTTACTTACATTTTTTTCCCCTATACATACCATCCTAATACTTCCCGGATTGTAATCATAACTTCTTACAGTTTCTTTTATCAACAGATGTTATGGACTTTGTTCGTACCTTTAGGCCTCAAAAACAGATGAATACCTTAATTATTGCTCTCAGAATACTAATGTTTTAAATTGAATTAAAATATCATTTAGATTGTTATTCTGTTTTTAAAAGAATAAAATCCATGATTAAGAAGAACAGTGATAACTATCCACATTTAATTTATATTGTCTGCTAAGCACTTTATATATTTTTCCTCATCTAATCCATTTTAATGATGAAAAAACACACCAAGAGAAGTTTAATAACTTGCTGAAGGCTATAAAAAAGTGGATGATAGAACTGGAAGTTTTAGATGCTACCCTTCCAATGCGCTACTGCATAAATACATTGCTTTCTTAATGTGCTAAATGTTTGGTGGCAAAAATGATAGGTAGTAGATCCCATCAAAAGAACACTTTGCCAAATAAGACAATGACCCTACTTAAAAGACTTCTACTTTATTATTTTATTCACTACAGATTCAAAATCCTGAAGATGGACTACTAGCTCCCTTGCCAACTTACTCTTACTGTAAGCAGATTAGTGCACAGGAGTTTGATGAACAAAAAGTATCTACCTCTCAAGTTGCAATTGCAGAACTTTTAGAGAACATTATTAAAAACAAGAGTTTACCTCTAAAGGAGAAAAGAAGAAAACTAAAACAGGTAAAAAAGATGAGCAAGCTTTTTTTTTTTTTTTTAGAGAGGTTTTCTGCATAAGGTACGCACACTCACCAGAGAGACAGAAAGCAAGAAATCACCCCCTGGGGGGATGGCCAGACCGTGATTCCCTTCTCCTCCATTCTCCTCTTGGGATCTTGGGCATGCACGCACATGCCCCCGGCATGAGTTTAAGCCACCGGTCTGGGACTCGAGCCATGGTCGACTACATGGGAGTCCAGCAACATAGCCATTACGCTAACTGCTGGTCCTGATGAGCAAGTTCTTATCAGTTAAATAATTTCTAATATTGATACTGGTTGTTTAATAACATTTAGAATCTCAATTCTTATTTTAGTACTTTAGATTTTTTCTTTTTTCGGGGGGAGGAGAGGAGAGGTTTTCACTATAGGGCACGTGCGCTCACCAGACAGAGAGAGACAGACAGAAAATGAGAAATCACCCCCCAGGGGGGATGGCCATGCCACAGTCCCTTCTCCTCCATTCTCCTCTCGGGATCTTGGGCACGCACGCACACGCGCCCAGCATGAGTTTTAAGCCACCCAGTCTGGGACGCAAACCGCGCTCGACTGCATGGGAGTCCAGCGACATAGCCATTAGGCTAACTGCTGGTCCCCGTATTTTAGATTTTTAATATTGGAAATGTAGACTATATACTAGGCTGCATTGTATTATACATTAAACTACTTATAAAGTATGAAATATAAAGTATATAATACCTACCTGATCTTACTTTTTATCCTGAATTTCAAAATGATAGATACTCCGTTTTACTACTGGTGCTTTGTACAATTATAGCTTGGGTTAACCTGGTAACCAATTAACAAAATTTGAATTATAATATATAAGTCTTTGACTTGTCACTACTGTTTAGTATTTTTAGCCACATGATTCTGCAAATATAATTCCAAGTCTGAGACATGAAAGACTAATGAAATGAACTATACTAAATCCCTGTGACCTTCATATGCTTTCCATTGGGAAAGAAAAAGATCTGGATTTTAGGGGGAATTAGCAGAAGAGATTCCTAGAATGTTAACTAAGATGTAAGAGATCTGTCTTACAGTATACTTTTCTCTTATGAGAAAAGAGAGGGAGAGAAAAGGATAAAATGAAATACTTCTCTCTGTAATCCATATTTGAGAAAGGCTCTGAATTAACTGTGTTTGTGTGTATTAATGCAAGAGAAATGGAAATTTTTGACAGTCCCACCACATTGTAAACATCCTGCCTCAGCATCCCCATAACCCCAAACCACAGTCAGATGTCACTGTGCCTAGCCTGTTTTCTGTTGAGTGAGAAATTGAACCCGGACCTCTTATGTGGTCTCAGCTACCCTGCACAGGCACCTTCCCAACTTGCACCACCATGGCTGGGCATGGCACTGAATTCTTAACTATAACATGTTGAACACTCACTTTTTTAGCTAGAGAAATAATGTTACATAAATACCTTCTAATTCCTCATCTCATTTTTAAGTTTCAGAAGGAATATCCCTCGATATATCAGAAAAGATTTCCAACCACGGAGAGTGAAGTAGCACTTCTTGGTGACAAACCTACCATCAAGCAGCCAATGCTGATTTTAAGAAAACCAAAGTTTCATAATCTAAGATACTAACTGAATTAAAAACTGTAATATTTGTGAAACTTTGATAAATGAAGCCATAACTGAGAATCTAGCTACTAAAGTGGCGACCTGTTATTAATCAGGTTTTTCCTAAATAAATTACATAATAAGGAAGTACCAAAAATAATTTATCAATGTGAGACTGCTAAGAAACTACTGGATCTCAACTTAGAGACCATAAAAGTAGGTAATACCAAATATTTTAACCAGAAACTTTTTTTTACCACAACTGTCTGGAAAAGCTACCATGTGTAGAAAACTGAATGGTATTCATCAAGATTAAGCTGTGATTCTGTGTGTGTGTGCGCACGTGTGTGTGTGTGTGTTAACTTACTGCATATGTGCTTATGTATATTAAAGAACTAGTGGTTTAGGGTTATTTCTTCATTCCTAAGTGTAAGAATATGAAGACTATTTGAAAACTCAAAATGAATTCTCAACTGCTACATGTTGCACTCTTTTGTATATTCTTTTTCTGTTTGCTCTATTTATATACATATATGTTTTTAAAATGTATATATATATATCATAAAAGATTTTGGTTTAGCCTTAAACATTATCCTAACTGCTTTAGTCATTCACTTTTTTAATATATATATTTGTAATTCTTATAATCTGCTAAAAGATGGAGATATAAAAGGAAGTATAAGTCAATCATGTGTTCTTTCAAAAGATGTTTATTTAACAACTGCTATGTGCCTTCCATTGCTCCAAATATGTAAAGACAATTGTGAATAAACAGAAAATATTGGGAACCAGCAGTTAGCGTAATGGCTATGTCGCTGGACTCCCACATAGTCGACCGTGGTTCGTGTCCTAGACCCGGTGGCTTAAAATTCACACCAGGCGCGTGTGCGTGCCCAAGATCCCGAGAGGAGAATGGAGGAGAAGGGATTACGGCGTGACCATCCCCTCTGGGGGGTGATTTCTCGCTTTCTGTCTCTATGTCTCTCTCTGTCTGTTTGGCGAGCACACGCGTCCTATAGCGAAAACCTCTCCAAAAAAAAATATACATTTTCCCTAAAGTTATTTTTTTTCTAAACAAGGGAAATACACCTATCTCCCTTGGGCCAGTGCGTGGGACAACTCTGTGGTGTGGTGGTAATATACTGTTCAAAAAAAGCCAGATCCCTCATGGTGACCATGGTTCAAATCCGTGGCCCAGTCAGCCTGAAACATGCTATCACATTCATGAGTGCCCAGAATCTGATGGGCTGAAGGACTAACTAGAAAGTGCACAGTTCAGAAACCACCCATATGGCCAGGGGCTTCCTTGGACCAATTAAATCTGAATTTTAGGGATATTATTACAGGTATTAGTATTTTATTTTTTTTAATTCTCTAGATGATTCCAAAATTCAGCCAACTTTGAGAACAAGTGACCTAAATGCTTTTCATAAATAATTAAGTAAATGTCAAGGTGGTGGCATACTGACATTTTTTCATTGGGAGAATAAATGCCAACTATAAATGCTTCTAAACTTCACAAGGTTTTCAAAATTCCTGCTTGATTGACTCAGTACATACTTAAAGCAAGTTTTCTTTAATTTATTACTCCAAGGTTGTTTAATATCTATTCCTTAGGTGTAAAAAAATACATAATGACTAGGATGTAATAGACTCTCAATGTTTAATGACTATTCTGATTTCTTAATGTTTATTGATCTATAAAGTGAAAGTGTTTCATTTAACATTACTATTTTTGATTAAAAGCTTGAACAGAAAATGATAAATATACCTTTACTCCAGAAATCCTACCTATTTAATTATTGGGCCAAATTACAATTCTTCCTGAGTTATGTATATACTAAAACTTCTCCTGTTTAAAGATACATAATAATGTGAATTATGTTGCAAATCAAGTAAACTCTTATGGATTTTTTAACAGTTTTATTTTCCTTTTGTATTTATTGGCATTAAATATGTGAATATTATAAAGAGAGTAAGCATTCATTTGTATCAGTATGTATGCAATTGAGGTTACAAAATACATGGTTTAAAATGTTGACATTAATAACAGGAACTCTAAAGTAAAGTTTGAGTCCCACTGTGTTATTTACTAGCCAGTATTCTTAGACTAAGTAACCATTAACAACTCCTCTCTAAGCCTGTTTCCCCTTGCTATAAAATGGAATGTTATAATAGTTCCTTTTAAGTGGTCAGATATGGAGGATCTGTTGTTGAGTGAAGTAAGCCAGGCTATGAAAGAAACATATTGTATGTATCCACTCAATATATACCGACTATCCGCACTCTATGGTAGAGAGCAAAAAATTGGAGGACATAAAAGCAGTGAAGGTACTTAATGAGAACAGGACAGTGTGGAATGGGGGAGGTGAAGAGAAGAGGATAGAGAAAGAGCAAAGTATTTTTACAAGCAAAATGAGAAATAGCGATTGACTGTTTTAAAAAATAATTAGAATAATAATAATACTGATTGGGGAAAACATAGAAAAGATATTGAATGTTGAAGCAGGGAGATTAATGTCTCTGTATTGACTGACATGCATGGCATTCCCTTTTGAAAAAGCAATGTAATACACTGTAAAGTTATATGTAATCCAATGTAATATAAAGAAGATTATGATGATAATAAAAAATAAATAAATAATTTTAAAAGGCAAAAAAATAATAGTTCCTTTTAGGGTCATTGTGAGGATTATATAGTATAATTCATATAGTGTTTAGCAGAGTTGAACTAGAATAAGTACTCACTAAAAGAGATACTAGCAAAAATGTCTTCAATTGATTTGGGCAGACATGAACCAAAACAAAATTGTAAACAGTTGATGAGTTTTATTAAACTATTTTTCAGTTATAAAATAGAGGTTCTAATTGTATACAATGGCTGAACATCTTTTATGGGACATTTATTGTGGAAGGAAAGCCTGGATATCTTCAGAAGAAATACTCGAGTCTGTGAAAGCATGCTGGAGCCTGGACAGAGTCCATTCTAATAGAAAGGCAGAGTTTTTAAGTTAGATGTAGGTGGATCGATTGGTGGATTTGGTTTTTACTTATTTGTAGAAATTCTTTGGTTACTTTTTCTTTCTCAGGATATAACAAAGCTAACTACTGAGAGTAAAGTGGAGAATGGGGAGGATGTTGCATGTTTAGAGAGAAAGATGTGAAATATTCTAACAAACTTGTGGGAATGCAGATTCTACCAGATCAGAAAATGTCCTGTTATTTTATAAATTATAATTCTGATCCCAGAAATAATTGCCACCACTACCTCTAAGTAGTTCTTGCCATGTCGTATTATATAATGATACACTCTCCCCACATTGTCTAGACATTTATGTAGCATTTAGTCATGTAAAGTACATAGAATTTTTCATTACTGTGTTTCTATTTCTGGAAAACAAATTCTGTGGTTCTTTATCTATAAAATGTAAATGAAAAACATCTACCTAACCAAATCATGGTAGTTTAAAAAAGCAATATATTTAATTCTTGAAATTAGCAAGCCATCCTCAATTTTTTTAAGTCTTTTCCTCTTTATTGTATTAAATGTGAGATCTCTACTGATTGAAACGCCTTTAAAAATTCTGTTCTTATATTTCACAATATTTTGCCTCCCTATCAGTGGTAATATTTTTGACCTCTTGTTTAATGGAAATAAAGAATTCTGGAATTTTATATACTGGTAATCTGTACTGCCAACATGTATTCTACCAATTGAATATGGAGGTAATAAAAGTGCATGTGTACTATGAGAGAGAAGGATGAAATAAAAGCATTTCTGGGAAAGAAATGAAGAATAACTGGTTTTAATATTAAACTAAATTAAAAGAAGTAAAGTCAGTTCAGTGAGATAAACTAAGTTGTTTGAAATATAATACAGTATAGCAATTAAGAATCCTTTTACTACAAAGTTTTTACTTTCTAGAACTGAAAAAAATACATTATAGCTGTTATTACCTGTCCTGAAAATCTCTCAGAATGTATACCGAAAAAATGTATATATAAGGGATATATAAGACAAGTAAAAGCAATGTTGACTTTTGCTTATTGTAAACACAATTTTTGTGTCAAAATCCATCTTGTAAAAACAATTTTTGTGTCAAAATCCATCTCTATATTCACTAGTTGACCTCTGTATTGCCTTTTCTTCCATAAGTGACTGGAAAACCAGACAAAATATATGGAACAGCTGTTTAAGAGACATTGGACTACAGGTAACAGGACTATGATCCCTGAGAAAAGAAAAACAAAGGATTTGAACTTTACAGTGCAGGCAGAGGAACTAAAACAAAGCCCCATTGCCCTGTTGCATTGTGGAGCTAGAGATGACTGAGTTCATTATGACTGGGAGAGCTCCAAAAGGAAAAAAAGAGTTCAAAAGATCTGCAGTATAGTTCTGTAGTATACTTGCTGAGTATTAATAGGTTTGAATGAAAGAAATGGCTTCAGTAGTTATTAATAAGATCAATGAAAGAATGGCTAGAACATGGTAAACCAAACAATTTTTGGAACTCAGAGTTGGGAATACTTGTTCTACAAGTCAGGATAGAGAGAGCTAGTAATACATAGGATGTTGGGTGACATCTTTCTAAGGTCATGTTTGAATATCAGAACCAAATTAGTTCAAGCTAAAAGATTGAATCAATTCACCATAGCATCTTAAAAGCAAGTCTCAAAATGGTCAAAGTAATCTTCAAAGTAACTTACTGTATGCCAGAACAAACTTCAACCCTCGATAAATGCAGTGTGTCCGACAGTGGCAAAGCAAAAACATGCAATGCTCTGCAAGACTGACGCACATGGAAGGTTGCCTGTTGTCACCTGGAGACCTCCCAGAGTACACCAGGTATGTTATGTCCCCATGATCCAGAACTGGCTGAGACTAGTGCATCATGCCATCAGGATCCTTCTTTCACTTAGAGAAGGAATAAACATTTTTTAAAAAAGAAATAGTAGCCATCAATTAAAAGTGTAAAAATCACAACCTCCAACATCTAATAAGAAATTACCAAAAAAGCAAAGAAACAAAAAATATGACCTATAACCAGGGAAGAAAATTTAAAAAAAACTAGAAGTGACAGAGATAATGGAATTATAACAGACACAAACTTAGTTATTATAAATACTATAACTGTATTCTGATGTAAAATGGAAATTAGGAACATAGTAATTGAAATGGAAGATATAAAAAAAATCCAAGTAAAACTAGAGGTGAAAAATACAATATCCAAAATGAGAAATACATGGAATGTGATTATGAACAAATTAGATATGAGGAAAAAGTATCTTTCAGCTTAAGAGCAGTAATAGGAACTATCCAAAATAGAGGGAAAAACAAGTGAACAGAGCTTAATGTTTCATAAAAATAGGAAGCAGTAATGTGTGTAACTGGAGGCTGGGAAATTGAAGAGAGGACAAAATTATCAGCCAGAAATAACGGCTAAATTTTTTTAAGTGTGACAAAGAACATAATCCCACAGTGGTTAAGCATGTTGAATCAAGAGCTGGATACCAAATGGCTGACTGGTTTGAATCTCAGACCATCAGCTTGAAAACCATACTGAGTGCATCCATAATCCCAATAGTATAGTTAAATGGAGGAGAAAAGATTAAGATGTGACCATGTGCCATTAAAGAGTCTCTCTCTTCTCCCTGAGTTGTTAATGTCAATAAAAGAAAATAAAACTATGAGATCCAGAAAACAATTGAATGATACTGTTTTAGATTTGCTGTCTTTGCTGGGAGATCCTGTCCGCTTCCTAGGATCACACCTACCTCTGTCTTAAGTTATATTTCTCATAATACTGAGACAAATACTTGTGTAGGGAAA